TTGGAAAAGCTGGCGGCTACGGGCTGGAACATCCAGTACAACCACATTTCGAGCCCGTCGGAGGGCGTGCAAATTGCTCTGCCGCCGTCCACAGGCATCCGCACGGCTGCTGAAATGGAGTCGCTGCTGTCGGACTGGGGCTTTGACATGTCTCTTTTTGCAGCGGTGGTCAAGGACCCAGCAGTGCCGCAGCCCCGGACGCCTGTGCGCTCGAACAAGACCAGCGGCACCATGTTGCTTGACTCGCAGGACATGGACGATCTTGACTCGAGGCTGTTCTCGCTGATTGTCGATGATGTGGTTGACCCCGAGGAGGCATACCGCGAGGAAGTCAGGGATTTCTTGACTGACCTTGACAGAATGCCCAGGCTGTCGGCCTCCCGCAAGCCCTCGGCGTTTGACGGCATGTACAAGAAACTCCAGCAGCAACGGCAGCAGCCTATGCTCTAGCCTCGCTTTTTCACCCTTTTGTTTTTTTTTGTCTAGTGTATTTAACCCGTCCCTCCTTTAGCTCTACATCTCTGTCGTATCAGAGAAGCGCCAAATGTCTTTATCCTAGCTTCCGTCTGTGAAGAAGTTGCGGTCCTTCATACTGTCTGGCAAGTAATCTGGTCCACAGGCCCTTCGTAGTCTGGGTTATACTTGTATCCCAAGCTGTACCCCATGTTTTCATCATAGTCGTCGCGCGTTGCGTAAAATGTAAGCGGCACAGGCCATGGGTTCTCGTCCTGCAGCGTCGCCTTGACTCTCTTGTATGCCTTGTACGTCTCGACGCTTTTCCGGAGCCCTGGCCAAATATGTAATGCAGTGGGCCAAAATCGTATCGCACTCGGGCATTCCTATCGCCTGGCACGCATGGAATGCCGATACAGCCAGCGGCAATGCGTTGTTATCTGCGAGGCCAATGTCCTCGGAGGCCATGCGGATCATGCGCCGTGTAACGTACAGCGGGGTCGTCGCCTCCAGCCAGAATGCGGCCAAGCCAGTACAGAGCCGGCATTGGCGTCGCTGCCACGCACGCTCTTGTGGAGGGCCGAGATCAAGTCAAAGTGCTCTTCGGCTCCGTAGACCATGTGTGTGCGCTGCAGCGCGTTTTTTTATGTCGTCGAGCGACACTGCTTGTGGCGGGGTGTGGCTTGGCAGGGCGCTCATGGCCAGATCAACAGTGTTGATGGCGGACACGGGGCATCGCCATCCGCTGGACAGAAGCCACGTACTTGGCCACCCTCGTTGTCCAGGCCCTGCCTGCGTTTCACCGAGGTCCTCTTGCTTCAGCTTGGCGGCTCTCTGGGCGATGCACTCGATGTCGTCTTCAGTAAGGTTACCAAGGCGGAACACGCGGCAGCGGCTCAGCAGCGCGCTATTGAGCTTGAATGATGGGTTCTCCGTGGTGGCCCCGATCAAGGTGATCTGGCCGCGCTCGAGATACGGCAGAAACACGTCCTGCTGAGCCTTGTTGAACCTGTGGATTTCGTCGAGGAACAAGATGGTGCGCTTCCTTGCCAGCCTGTTAATGTTGCCAGCCTCCTCAATTGACCTTCTTCACATCAGATGTGTTCTGCGTTACAGCACTCATCTCCTTGAACACGGCTTTGGTGCGCCGGGCAATGATGCGTGCTAGCGTGGTTTTGCCCAGCCCGGGGTTGCCCCAGAAGATCATAGATGTGACCTGGTCGTTTTCAATGATACGCCGCAGCATCCCTGTAGGGCCAACAAGGTCCTTGCTGCCCGACAAACGTGTCGAGCGACATGGGACGCAGGCGTTCGGCCAAGGGGAGCTGCTTATTGCTGCGCCGCTTCTCTTCGTCATCTGCTGGCATATCCACTGTCTTTGGTTTGTCGCGTGTTGCGCTATGGAGGAACGGATCGGCTTGCTTCGGCGACTGCAGTGACTGCGAGTGAATCAACGCGGGCGGTCTGGATAAGTGCTGGGAGCCAGAGCGTGGTCGTTTTGACACTGGCGACCCTTTTGACGGAGATATGAGGAACGGCGAAGCAGGCTTGGTGCGCTTGCGGCTGGGCGTCACAGGCTCATCATCCACGGCACCGGCAGCAGGTTCGCCACCCCTGGCACTCGCGATCCAGGTGGTCGTTCATGTACCACTCAGGCACGCTCTTGTTGCAAATTGGGCAGGGCGACGATGCTGCTGCTGCTCATTGTGAAGTAATATTGTAGTGAGATGAAAAGCTGCTGTGTTTGATGCTGCTCCTGAGGCTGCGGTCTTTTGAGCGGACCTGGCTGATCAGCTAACCAAACCTGCTGATCCAGCACCGAATAACCGACGCGTTTTGCGCGTTTACTGACACACGGGTTTTCCCTGTTTACTTTTTTTTGTCTGTCGTGAATTTGGTCCTAGTATTTAAGCAACTCTAATCCAGCGCCTCCAGTATATTCTCCAGTTCAGTCCATGCATTCGCTCGTGGCTGCCACCAGCGACATAGTTCGCGTGTGGGATTTGGCCATTGCCTCTAACAATCAACAGAGTAGCTCCAATTATGCTACCCTCCGACGCGGGCCACCTCTACCGGCTACAGCAGTCTCACACAACAAATCCTACACCGCAGGAAGCATGCGGGACAGTGTAAATGAGATCAAGGTGGTTTCGTGGTCGACAGACGGCAGCACGTTTGTGGTGGGCGGGAAAGGTCCGTATATGCGGCAGTTCAGTGCCTCTGGCGAGCCAATAATGGACATTCCCGGCAACGAAGATGACATTTCGGATATCGTGGCAATTCAGCACTATGGCAGCAACTCCGAGTCGATGTTTATTGCAGACAACACGAGCCGCCAGGTGCGGCGGTGGGATTTTGCAAGCACAAGCTTTGCGCAGACCTGCCAGACACACGACAACGATATCGCGTGTATGTCGTAAGCGCCAAGAGCGTCTGGTGGCAAGCGCGACACGGAAGGGCGGTGAGATTGCGCTCTACAACTTGGTGTACAACACCCGCACAGAGCTTCGGTCGGCAACGCACCGCGCAATGCTGAGCATGGACTTTTCGGCTAGTGCGCGCACGCAGCTGATGGTGGGTAGCGAAGACGGGTTGCTGCAGCTGTTTGACGCGACGCGGTACGGCGAGGCACCAGCCAAGACATTTGCACACGTGCATAGCGCGCCCGTGTGCGCATTGAAGTTCCACCCGGCAAACCTGAACTATGTGGTGAGCGCGGGGCTCGATGGCAAGATGGTTCTGACGGATACGGTTGTGCAGAGATCAAATGCGATTTCGGTGATGGCCGAGGCCCACTTACGTGCCTTGCGTGCCACCAATCACCAGTCGTGGTCGGCGTAGGCACCATTGACGGCGATGTGCTGGTGTATGATCTGCGAGGCTCGAGGACTCCGCTGTGGAAGCACAGGGTAGCGACACGCAAGCCCTTGGTCAGTATTGATTTTGCATTTGAGCAGAGCGCGATGCCAGTGGCGACCGGGCGGCGGCCTAGTGGGGTGACCATGAGGTCGTCTGTGAGGAAAAGCGGCGGTAGTTCTGATGACAGTGGGATTGGCAGTGAGCACAGGCGTGCGAGGCCAACAGCGGCTCCTCCGAGTAGTCGGGTTGTGGGCCGTGAGCCTAGGCTACTGGTACTAGGTCGACCGAACCCACGCAGCGTGACAGTGAGACCGCCTCATAATCCGGCGATCAAGGCTCACCACCGCCAGGTTCTGAACCAGCTGCTCGAGAGTGCGCATAAGAAGGAACCGCGGTCCAGCAATGCACTTGGAATCACGTCGCGCCAAGAGACCGAGGAGTTCGGAGCCCGGAGAACGCTGTGCAGCACCAAGACGACGATTTGGAGAGCGTTAGCATGATTTGCCAAGGATCGCTCGTTCATGGAAATGCTATCACCACCGAAGCCTATGGCCAGGGAGCCGGTACGCGGCGGACCACAGAAAGGCATTGCCAGTGGCTCATGGCCACATGAAGTATGCTGAGGATCCCGACCTTCCGGTACAGCACGACGAGCTAGAGCAGATGCATGCTACAGGCCCAGATGCCGACCAGCACCATTTGGAGGATTTCGACGACGAATTTGACTTCAGTCCAGCTGAGCCTCTTCGCTACGCAGAGCCAGCGGAAGACGAGGCAGCAGAGGAGAGGCACGATATGGGCGATTCGATGATGGAAATGTTTACGCCGGAGCGCGAGAAGCCACCACATTGTCCGCGACCGCCGTGGCGAGATGGACGAATCGCCGCGGCCCGACAAGACACCATCAAAGATGGTCAGCAAGCTGATAGCTCAGCTGAAGAGCAGCCAGAAGAAGAAACGACGATAGACCTTGCAGAGCCACAAGAGTCCCGCAAGCCGGCCCCGTCACTGAAAACGCCTGGTAGGGCGAACGAGTTTAGTGCGATTAGCCCGCGGTCGGCAAGATCGATTGAGAAGCGCCGGCAGGCGCAGATGCTCGAGTACGAGCGGGATTTTGAGCCGATGCCTAAGCGGAGAGCTGTACAGGGCTTTGAGCGTACGCCTAGGGTCGCCAATGAGCCAAAGTCGGCAAAGCGGTCGGCGGTCCGGTTCTTGAGCAGGGCACCGCCAAAGTACTCGAAGGAATCTGTCGAAGAGGATCTGGTGCCGAGGACAGGCACCAAAAGCACCTCCAAGTATACGCCCAAGCCATGGATGCGCCATGTGGGGCTACCGTCGCGCAGACAGGAGGTTGAGGAGAAGGAGCCCCCAGCGTTTGCTGCTGTAGCCAAGCGACATGAGACAAAGGTAGCCAGACCGCTGGTGCGGCAGGTCGATCGGTCCTTGGACGAGGAGATTAGGGAGAAACAGAGGCCCTCGTATAGGGCAGACCCAGAGCCCGCTGTAGAGGAGGAGGAGGAGGAAGAGGATAAACAGGAGTATGTTGGGGCGTGCCCCGAGAACCCCAGCGGCCGCCAGAAGAACTGAGCGGTCGACAGAGGCAGAGCACATGCGCAGCGGCAAGATACCAGCCCCGGGCCGTCCAAAAAGAAGAGGATGAGGATCATCTTGAAGAGGGGGGACGGGTTTGCTAAGCCAGCTGCAAAGACTCGTGCAGAAGCCAGAAGATCCGAGCTTCCAGCGGAGCGGCTGTCTGGCCAAGAGTTTGGACATGGCTCGCAGTATCGGCCCAGAACTGCCCGGCATGAGGAGGATGAGGATTTCGACGAGTATGTGGATGAGCGGCGGTACAAGCCCAAGCCAGCCTGAAGGCGTCATTGAGCCCGTCCAAGGTGCCTCGCCGACTTTCCGATTTCGATTCCGAGCCTGTGCCCGCACCAGAAACCGCCCGCCCCCCGCCCCGCCCCACCCCCTCCTGTGCGATCGGCTGAGCAGCGTCCGCCTATGCAGAAACGTGCAGCCCCCAGATCTGCAGCCACTGATGCTGAATATCTCTGCAAAGTCACCGCCTAGCCCCGCAATGCAGCCCAGAAGTCAGCAGCTGCAGAAGGAGGCGATTCCGCTTGCCAAGGTCCTGGTATCCGCTAAACAGCGGGCCGACACTGCCTACTACGGTCTCCGATGCCTCGTCGTCGAAGCAGACGGCGACCAGCGGAGCACCAAAGTCGCAAGGGGCGAGTGGAACTGGTTTCGCCGTCGGTGGGTACCAGTGTTCTGCAGAACGCGCTAGTCGATGCTCTTGTGCCGGATGCGCGAGCAAATCCGCGGCGAGATCCGCAATCTGCACCTGGACATGATAAGCAGCACTTTGGTGGTTCAGGAGCTGCTTCGGGGATTGCAGCGCGAGGCAGCTGAGTCGCAGGCGCTGCGGCAACAGATCGAGATGCTGCGCAAGGAGAACGAGCGTCTGATGCGCTATATCCCTTTCCACAACATGCTGGATGAGAGCGACTTGGCAGAGCGGCCCGGCGGTCCGAACGGCATCTCCAGGGTCAGCACATCGACACAGCATCATCATCAGCAGCAGCAGCGGTGGCGATAAGATGCGGACGATAAACGGTGGGAAAATTCGCACACTGTCCTGTCAGATTCGTGTCTGCGCCGCCGCTCGGCCTCTGCTCCCTTTGTTTTTAAGTCACTATATATAAAACGCGCCTCCTGTGTCCCAGCCTGTCGCCTAGTACCCTTGCCATCGACAACATACCATCTTCTTCCGCTTTCGCGTCCTCTCATATTCGAAATTTTGTATAAATGCGCCTTTTAGCAACCGCCCTGCGTCGCTGTACCGCCACCCAGACTGCCTTCCCAAAGACCCTCCGCCCAGCCTACACGATGACCCGCTCGTTTGTCTCCGACGCAACCAAGGACTCGCCGGTCTGGAAGCTCGGCCACCTGAACCACGTCGCCATTGCGGTGCCCGACATGGAGCAGGCCACGTCGTTCTGGCGCAACATCATGCAGGCCAACAAGGTCAGCGACAGCGTTGCGCAGCCGGACCACGGCGTCTACACGGTCTTTGTTGAGCTGGGGAACACCAAGATCGAGCTTCTGCATCCGTACGGCGACAAGAGCCCCATTGCGGGCTTTTTGGCCAAGAACAAGAACGGCGGAATCCACCACATTTGCATTAACGTCGACAACATCAAGGAGGCTCTGAAGACGCTGAAGGAGAAGGGCGTGAGGCCGCTGAGCGAGGAGCCCAAGATCGGAGCGCACAACCTGCCTGTCGTGTTCCTGCACCCTAAAGACTGTGGCGGCGTGCTGGTCGAGCTTGAGGAACACGCTTAGTTTTTTTATTTTTGGCTGAGAAACTGAATGCAAAAAAAGACCTCCGACATGTGAACTGCTGCTGATTGGCCCGGGGTATGACGTTGCATTTGGTCAGGGCCTGGTAGGCCCGTTTAGAGGTGACCTAGCACCTCGCGCTTCTCTACTTCCGTTCGGTTTTTCTCCGTTAATTGTTTGCTATTTTTCCACTCTAGACCTTGCAGCCTGCTCTTTCCCTCCTGTCTCTTTCGTTGCTTTCGACTGCCCCAACTGTAAAACACCAAAGACGGCCCGCTGTCGTATATGCTCGGCCCTACCGGTCAATGTCACCAACAACCACAGCAACCATAGCCTTAAACAGCAGCAGCCAGGCGACACACAAGCCGAGTTGGCATTTACTAGACAGGCCAGGCAGTACCTCTGTGGACCCCCTCCGCCGATGAGCAGCCATTTCTACGGGAACCCATGGGGAGCCCAGACCTTCACGGAGCCCGCGCATTCTACGCCATCGCTGACGCAACTATCGCCTAGCCGGGCAGCACGTCGTGTTCGCGCAGCAAATGACCCGCTGGTATCGCCGTCGCGGGCACATATAAACGAGTTTGAGCGGGCGACCCGGAAACGAGCATTGAAAGACATGCTAGAATGTATTGACGACGCCATCTCGACACCGCTGCCGCATAATGATATACATATGGCGCGGGTGCGTGCAGATACAGATATAACAGTTTCCGGAGGGCCCGCTGGTTGAAGGGCCGAGCCATGGTAGTCCAGAGCAGAAAGGCGCGGGCTTGGCAATTAGCCTGCCCAAAGACAGTGGCGTGCTGCCATTGCAGATCCACAGGGTGCCTGGGCGGCCATCGGCAGATGGCTTGCCAGGGCTTTCGTACGGAAAGAGGATATTGTCGGTTTCTGAAGGCAGTACTGTGGCCCATATGTCTGTGCCAAGCCAGCAGCTGCGCACTATCAAAACTGTGAAGCACCTGGTCTCCAGCAACGATACCCTTGGAAGGGGTTTCGATCTTGTATGGCGTCTCGGTAAGTTGCAGATGATAGTGATCTGTATTTGCTCTGGTGCTACTATGTTTACTGATTTGTATTTCTTTACAACAGTAGGTCTCGAATCTGAAACGGCTCAATCGCCTGTGGTCGCCGAGCGAGCTGCTTACACGCGACCATCTGTATATTCCGCTGCGGGTCTGCTCGGGGAAATATACGCTGCAGTATATCGATTACATCAACTCGCGATATAGAGATGAATTATCGAGAGGACTAGCTCCAACCGTGCGGCAGTTGCATCTGATCGAGGTCGTCTTGGGCAGCGAGGAAGGAGTAGATACAAGCATGTCGTCGTGGCCTTGTGTGCCATACAAGAGTATACAAAAAATATGTGTCCTTTGTGTTCTGAGACTCACAGAATAGCTGCCCAAGGGCAATGCTGCCTGCGTTTATCTGCATGTAATATAATCACTTCTCTATGTAACAACACAATTTCAATCATAATACATATGCGTATCGTCATGGAATTGGTCATTTCAGCCCTCAGGTAGATAGAGTTCATGGACCGTATAGTCAGCTATGATGGCAAAGAGAATGCATATCCACATCCCTGTACACTGGCCTATAGATACTCATTCTGGATGTCGCTCTGTGTAGTAGAAACAAAAAACACTGCAATATTCACTACTACTAACTACCATTCAGCATGGGGTAGCGAGTAAATAGTATTTAAACTGGCTCTACACCTTTTCAAATAGGCGCTTTGAAACAGCTACTCTAAGAGAAAGCTGGCATATTATGCTGACGGCAAGCACCAATCCCGTAAAAACAACCATGCTGTCGAAATCCGCTCCGTTACCGAACCGAGACAGTAGTGCGCCGGACGAGGGTGTTGCAGCAAGGAAGCCACATCCGCCTGCAAACATAACCAGTCCAATGATGGATGGCATGCGCTCGACACCGAAAATGCGGCTGGTAATCACTGGCGGCAACCCAGCAATTATACCAGAAAAGAAGCCAAAGATAACTGAAAAGGCTATAGCCATGCTTGTCGAAGTAAATGGCAGCCATAGTGCAAACACACTAACGCAGCTAGCTGCCGTTGTGAATATCATCGTATTGAGCGGGCCAACTATATCACCCAGGGCACCAATTGCGATCCGACCCAATACGCTTGCCGCAATCATGATTGACGACAAATTGGCACCCCATGTGTCGCTTTTCCCGAGAGCTATAACCGAGTAGGTGTTGATGTACTGGTATGGAGTGTGATACCCGGCGTTACCAAATGCGGTCAACAGCATAATGAGTATGATCCTCCGGTCCTTTAGCAGTTGGAAGTCTATGAACCTTGGTGGGCCATATATCGTCGTGCAGGTTCTCATCAGCAAGCTAGCTGGCAGACACACGCCGGTGATTATGAATCCAGTTATTCGCATCGCCCATTGACGGCCGACTGTGTCCATCATCTTCCGGGTTGCGATTGTTAGCCACAGGCCACAGACCCCAGAACCAGAGATGGCGATGCTTGTAGCGACACTCCGGTACTTTTTGAACCACTGCACAGGCAGGATAAAAGAGATGTTGTAAAACAGGGATATGCCAATTCCAGAAAGAACACCTTGGGTGAGGAGAAGAGAAACGGGAGTGGTGCAAAAAGAGGCCGCCATGAAAGAAATTCCAGTGGTAAGAGCACCAACCATGCACAAGTGGCGAGTGTCATAGCGGGTGCATAGTTTGCTGACACCAACACCCAAAAAGCACGGCGTTGCTGCCTGAATAGAACCAATCCATGCTAAAAAGGACGCTGAGGTATCGGGGAACTCGTTGACCTTGTAATCCTCCATGTAGACGCCATAGGTGATGGTAAGTCCATTAGAAAACATGAAGCCGAAAAATGCACCCAAGACAACAAGCCATGCTTGCTTTGAGTCAACCTCTGGTAGAGGTGAAATGGATGACCCTGATGCCAAACTAGCTGTGCTGGCCGCTCTCTTCTCGTTCATACGAATGTCTGGGTCACTCGCGGCACGCAAATTCATAATCGATATAAAGGTGAAAATACCGGATAGTCTCGAAAAATGTTAACTTTGACGAGTGTCACTAGTCCCAGGGAAATATACAGACATAGTGATAGCGGCTCCCACGGTATTTGATTGTATGACCTGCTAAGAAGCAAAGGCGACCGCCACAAACAGATTATATGTGTAGCATGCCATTATCAGGTGGAAGACAATACCATGCGAGTATTTTTGTAAACACCCTCCTTTTACCTGTTGCTTGATCATTCGTTGATTTACATGCAGTGGAGGCTGTGGATACTGGGTATCGATTCAGGATAGGACAGCGAAATGAATATCCATAACACCCAGTTGTCACAGCCAAGGGCCATCACCAATGTTATCTGTAGGTGTGTTCCTGAGGAGGATCGTTTATCGACAGTATATACAACCAGTCACTAGCGTCATTTATATTTCCTGTATTGCCTGAACAAGTGTCATTATCATGGAATTTCCACACGTCGGTGCTAATTGCTCATATGCTGGCTGTGCAGATCTGGACTTTCTACCTGTTACTTGTGACTACTGTACCAAGCAGTTCTGGTAAGACGGCTAAAATTGAGTTGAACATTCATGATGGACAGCCCAAGAAACATACAGCAACCACTAATGCTGTAATCCCTCTACTGTAGCTCTACGCATGGTAACCCAATTGCACACCACTGCGACCAAATGCCCGAGCGGACAGTTGAGGCGACTAGTTCAACCAAGGACAAGGATTATATTCCAATAACAAAGTATACGAAGCCTGCCCGTATGTAAGTACATGCAGCTACAGCAGATGAACCTAGAGCTATCTGGATGTATTCTGATAGTCTATTCATACCCTGTATCAGTGATAATTCACCATTTGCACTGTTGTTTGTGACACATGTAGCGGGCCAAAGGATGTGCGTGCGCCAACCAAGAACGAGCTAACTGATAGGCAGAGGCAGGCTTTGGCTGCGCTTAAGCAGACGCACCAGTCAAGGGCGCCACTGCGAGCGGCGCCACTGCCCAAGAAGCAGCCTGTGCGTGTAGCGCCCCGGATCGAGCTAATGAAAACTCAAGGCCAAGGCCACCGGGAACCCGAACATGGCTATGGAAGACCGACTCTATCTCAGCGTGGCGTCTGAGGCAAAAACGATTGTCGTGTTCATCAACAAGGTAAGCACAACTGCACATGCCACTCGACATTATTCGTGCTGCGGCTGTGCAGTAGGTCTCAGCTGCAATGGCACAAACGTGGATTAATTATGAAATGCCCTCATTGCCACTGATCAACACGGGCTTTACTGTATAGAAGGCAACTATCGGAAGCGCCACAGATCAGTTTGCAAGACAGCTTGGGCTATCGATGCTCCCGGGAAAGGTAGCGTGCAGGCAATAGCGCAGTAGTCGCATCTCTAAGGACTTCAGACAACAACAGCCCCCCAATGTCTAATAGCTTTTGGCACCAGCATTTGCCTACTGCTAAATGTAGGTTTACAGCTTGCAGGTTGCTGCGTCGGGCGAGATGCTTTCCCCTGGGACACCTTTGACCAGCTCCTGGTTGCACGGTCCGACACAACGTTCTTCAATGGGTGCAAGCTGGCCTTGATTGGCTAAGCGGGTGATCATTTGTTGTCGTTAAGGCGAGCCACATGATTTTCTGGACTGGCTTGATGCCGAGCGAGCTGTGGCTAGAAAGAAAGAAAGAAAGAAAAAAAAGAAAAAAGCAGGTTTAGCACACAGCAAATTGCTTGTAGTGCATGGCACCTCCCCTCTCCTTTTCTCCTCTCTATATCTCTATCTCTCCTTAGCATAAAGTGCAACAATAAACTCGCGGTCCATTTCGCATTTCCAGCTCACTCTTGGTGTCCCTAGCCGTTGTTCCACACTGCACAAGGAATTTCCCGCAGCTCAAATAATTCCGGTTCCTGTTTCCCTTTTACCCACCTTTTTCTCTCCCTCTCCCTATCCTTCAGACATTATTGGCACTTGCTGTCCTTGGTTGACCAAAATTTCCCTAATTTTCCTCTCTCCGCGATTCGGCAAGAAAAGAACCAATGGGCAAGCCAGATTCGACAAAGACAGTAAGTGTTTTACCGATTGTAGGCAAGGGAAAAAATCGCCCACGAGGCTTTGCCCAAGGCTAACTAGAAATACTCAATGCTGGTGGTGTAGCTTCAGGCTGATAAGCGCACAACGGGTATCCGCACCATGAAGATGGCACGGGAAACAGCACCGGTTCACAACCCGCGGTCCTTGCAGTCCAACGGCCATAGTCACCACCGCCATGCGCAGCAGCCACAGCACCAAGTGCGTCCGCGTGTGCAGGAGCCGCTGGGAATATAGCTGACAACGGTGAGTATGGCGACGCGAGACAATGGTAGCACA